AGAGTTCAGGCCAGGTTCCAGGTTCCAGGTTCCAACTCATCTCCTCTCAGCATATTTCTGTGTGTCTTTGCTTATCGTTCGAACTGCAGACTTTTTGTTGCCCCTTTGCATTTGCATCAGGCCATGCAACGTTGGGGCCGAGGCTGAGAAAGGGTTCTCGGTCTCAGAAATGTGGCGCCAAAGGAAGCGTTGAAAATGGTACTTGATCTTGATCGCGATGACCGCCTCGCCTCGCACCGCCTCGCACGGCGCACCACACCTCTCCTTCCAAAGAGAGCGATATGGCCAGAAAGAGGCTCGACTGTGCTCGATCTTCTTCTGGCTGGTGAGTGTAATTTAGACGGCGCCTCGTTCCTTGTTTCACACTAATGCACTTGCAGCTTTTAAATGTCACCAGGAACACAGTCTCAAAGTCTTATAGTCTCCTCCGATCATCAGATCTCTCTGTTTCGTTGCGAGGCCACTTTGTGATCTTGTAATCCCCTCCAGCTCCTCCAGCGACTGATGCTCTGATGCACATCTCTGGCAAGACTCTGGTGTGTATTCAATTGGAATAATTACCGATACCATTAGGGATTTGTTTGAGCCAAGGAGAGGATTATTATTAAGCAATCGATAGAGGGATTCGATCAAGGCGTGTCTTGAATGATTGGATCGATCTTAAGGGAGTATCCCAAAGTGCAACTAGGTGCAATGCTATCCCCAATAAATGCGTAAATCATCCACCAAGTAAGGCTCCTCTCAAACGCAAAGTAATCTCTATATAATCTACTGGTTAAAAGCATTGCAACTAAGTGTTACATCGAAACCCAGTGTAAACAAGCCATAAACCAAAATAAGATATGAACCAATCGAATGCTGATTCAATTTGTTGGCCAACTTTTTAAGTGCCATTTTGTTAAGATCAGTCAACAGAGACGCAGAGAGCGAAGCCATCGCCAAGACTGGATGTCAATGAGCCCATAAGCGATAAGTTTAACGATCGCAGCAGGAAAATGGAACAACTTCCCCCAGGATATTGGCCATAACAATTACAATGTATGGGCCGAGAGAATCGGTCATATCGGTGGGCCTATGACGACTGGCATCCTCTTCAATTAAGTGCGCGAGAAGATCTCCTTTCCTGCAGCTTTTCATTAGTTTATCGCTGTGGCAGTGGCTGTGGCAGTGGCATGGGGCAAATATTTCAAATGCTGCCACAAGAAAGCAGGGGCCCAAAACCAGTTGCAATTAAAGGTCTCTCTCTTCAGGTGGCGCCGCTTTTTTTCCGTCGACCCTTCAACGTGAGAAAATTCCGCTCGATATTATATAGGGAAAATGTCTCGTTATCGAACGGCCAGGCCAGCATACCTGAGCAAAAATGAATGTGCGTATGCTTGAGATAGTGCCACAAGGAGCAAGCTCCACAGCAACACAACAAAAAGCGTAAATGTCAAAATGCCAAAATTAATTGCAATGGCAGTGCCTTGGATAAGAGCCAGAGCCCGGAGACAGGGCCAAAGACAGAGCCAGAAACGGCCATGCTGCCACCTCAAGGAGCCAGAGAGCAAGAGAGACCACGGGCCACAGGCCACAGCCCACTTTTGGGGCGCCACAAAGCCGATTATGGGCTGGATGAAAGAGTGGATCAAGGGTGGAGTTGGCAAGGAAATAAAGGGGTATTTATGGGGAAGTGTAAAGGCTGGGAGTATCCCTTAAAGAAACTAATATTTTGCGGGGCTTAAGATTATTTTTAACAAAAACCCTCTTCTCGGAGACGCCCCTGCCTCTGTGGGCTGCAGTTCCTTCTTGCCACACTTGGGCCACCATTACAAATTCTACCACTTTTGGCCCTAACCAACCTCGGCGGCCTGCCACACCCCAAGGCGACGACGGGGCGCGATTCCAGTCTTGCCACCAAAAAACCAGACCCAGGGCCAGGCACGCACACGGCTTATGCCCAGCGCCGTTGTGGCAACTATCAGACGGGGCAATCAGGCAGGACGCCGTTGCAGGCTCTGACGTCTGGGCTCTTGCAGCAGAAACTCGTTTTCGGGTGCCACACAATGCTGGTTCCCCATTTTTAAGGTGGAGTCAGTGTTGCGGCAGCAAGGCTTCGATTGGTCAAAGACTGAGAGAGAGATGGGAGACCCTCATGCCACATGGTGTCCTCCCCTCCCTCGCCGACAGAGTGCCTTCCCCTCTTTGGGATTTTCATTAAAGTTTCGCATAAATTTTGTTGCATGTTTGTGGCGTTTCGTGTCCGTCTGTCTGGGGGCGGGGGGGAAGTCCAATGGTGGGGTATCGCACGGCTACACGCATTTCAGGTCCAATTCATTTGCAGCTAGATTTGTTGCCCCACCTCCCCTTCCCCTGGAAAACAGGTAAAGGCAAACGCATTTCGTGCCCGTGTCTTTGGTTTTTGTTTTATGATTTTAGTGCTCGTATTTTTTGGCAGTTCCTATAAATAATTGTATATTATCGCCCCGCCAGCCCGTTGCTCGTTTAATAAATTTAATTTGTGGTAATTGAACTTATGGCAGTGACTGTAGCCAGACACGGACACGCCACGCAATGAAATTCCGATTGAAATTGCTCATTTTTCAAGGCTGTCGCGTAATTAACAAAAGAATAAAAAAGGGGAAGTCTCTGCAGAGACTGGGGATGGATGCTCGTATGTGTCATGCCCCATCCAGCAATCTCATTCTCGCCCATGAACTGATTCTGCATAATTTACGACTATTTGTGCGATGGAGTTCCAGAGAAGAGTGAGAAGAGAGCGCCATGGCCAAACTTATCTGCTCCCTGGCTGTGGAGTTACTCATGGGCTTACTTCCGGGTAAGTGTCTGCCTTAAGGATTGTTATATTTTTGTTAGTATTATTCATTAGCGATTTAGTTGGAAATTGTGGTATTCCAGGATGGCGACTTTTTCTGACTTTAGTAGAAGTTAAATATCTATAAAGGCTACCATTTTGAGATCTAAAAGCCCAATGGAATGCTATTTTTGGTTCCACTATTTCTTATCTCAAGAAGAAAGGAAATGCTGGAATTGTGTACTATTTCCTCTCTAAATCCATGATAATTATATGATAATAAAGTTGAACAAATTTAATCTGCACAATGTGAGAGGTATAAATATAAAGTTTTATAGAAATAAAGCACTTTAACAACCGATTTCCCTAGTTGTACTTTTTAAAACTATAAAGCAAACCTCTAAAACTAAAATAGATTAATGATCTTTACTTTTTGATTACCAAGCGAATCTCGGAACGCTAAGAAAAGTCTCCACAATTTTCCAGATACAATTTTTGAGGGATTACAAAACTTCTGGATGTGCTCTTTAATATGAATTTATGTATCAAAGCACAGCACAGACAGATAGACAGACAGACAGATACCCTTATCTTCATTGAGACAAATGAATGGCATAACTAATTTGTAAATTGAAAGGAAATTGCTGATTCTCCCCACCTGCCAGCGAATGAAAAAACGCTTAATGAAGACATTTATCTGATAAATAAATCACGGGTAGGCGTTAAATTTATAAATTGCAAGCACAGGTACTACTACTAGTGCAAAACAAAATATAATTTATTTCCCTCAATTGTCAAGGCGGGGAAGAGTTATGACACGAGCGGAAAAAAGCCAATTAAAATGCACATAAAATGGCAGCATAAAAACTTTGGGCCATGGTTTATTGCTTTAACATTTTGGGGTTTCGTTTTTGGGATACCCTTCAAAAGAGAGCTATTGGGACTCTAAGGAGATGTTGGAAATTCCTCTAAATTATATATGATGTAGATAAGCATCGACAGAAGAGGCATGTGCTTCTATAAGAGTTGCTTATGTTTAATTTTTCCTGAAGAAAACTTTCAAGTCTGATCAAGTTCTTTCATAAGATATCTCAACCAATTTCTAGAAGCTATCTTTTCATGGCAAAACACCAATTGAATGATATATATTTTCGCAGGGTATCTGGGTATTCGTTGAGCGTTTTTACCCTATCTTTCTTGTCATTATTGCTTTATTTATTATCGAATATTATATGCTTTTAAATGGCGCGCGAAAAGACATTGCGCATACGCCATGAGAGCCGCACAAAAGCCATAAAGTGGGCTGTCCCCCAAGAGGCGCTTGCTCTCTCTTTCTCTCTCTCTCTCTATTACTAACACACTCACACACACGCACACTTATAGTAGGAATATCTAAACAGCAAATCAAGCAAACTTGAATATGACCACATTACCCGATTACGAATGTGGGAGAGCGACAGAGTCAGCTGGCGTGAAAGCGAGACGGGGAGCCGCGGGCAACACCCACTTTCATAGTGCGATAGGGAGCTCGCTCTCCCTCTCTCTCGTTCTGTGTGTCTGTGTGTGTGCTTGCGTGAAACCCGTTTGTTTGAACACGCAGGGGAAAGGAGAGCGGAGCGCCACAAGCATTGAACAGCAGCAAAACAAACGCCAGCCTGCCTGCCAGCAGTCGCTCTCTCAGTGCAGGTCCAACCGGAAGCCCAAAAACGAAACGCTCGCTCGCTCACTCCATCTTTGTTGTGTATGCGCCCTATGTGTGTGTGTGTGTTTGGTGTATCTGTGTTCCAATCAGAATACACACAACAACAAGGAGTGAGTCCGTGTCGGCATCGGATATTCCTTTGCCTTCAGTTGGATTCGGATCGGTTTATGCGCGAAACGCGAAACGCAGCAGCGAATGGAAAAAGCTGAAACGTGAATTTGCCGTCGCCAAAAGGCAAGCCAATCCGTACCAAAAGTATCTCTGGTCCACAAAAAACTGGTAACTGGTAAACTAACTATTTTAATAGCCGCCTTGTGATTAATTAGCAACCGAAAAAAAACCAACACGCGTCGCGTGATTCCTTCAGTGAGCAAAACTCGAATAAATTCCATTGGCTATCGGCTGTAAGCCTTTGTCTGTCGCGTGTGAGTGTGTGTTTTGTGTATCTATGTTTCATTTTTTGCCAACATTATGCAAATGTATCTGAATTTGTGAATTGCGTGTGATTTGTGGCATCCAGCAGACTGGCATTTAGCCCATTCAAAATCAAATCAAACCACAAAGAGCACAAAACGTTTGGCTTTACAGGCAGTTTGCACAGCACAGGCAAACAGGCCATTAAGTCCCCCCCAAACTGCCAATTGGCATACGAATCTTCATTTGCATACATCAAACAACACATCAGACAACAGACACAAAAGCAATTGGTCGAGGCAGAGCGACGACACTCTGGGAGGCAGGCAAAGGGAATCCGAATCAGCCCACAGTCGAGTAAGTTGAAATCTGTATTAAAAAGTATTTATCTTTGTTTTTATTTCGACGCGGATTTTATTAGGTTTAATGATACAAAATGGGGGTTTGAATGGTTCATAATGATGGATGTACAACCCTCTTATTTCGTTTATTTATGAACCAGAAGAAATATGTATCTTTACCCACATAATTTTCCATAGAAACCCACTACTTGCTATCAGAACTAGAGTCTCCATTGACTTGCATCGGCATGGATCTTTCATAAGGTGTAATATAGAACCATTCTATGGTCTGATAGCCCTGAAATTATCAGTTCTGTATGCTATTAAAACTAAAAAATGCAAATAAATAGGGATATGTTATTCTGTAATCAAGATATCGTTATCCTCATGCAAAATCTCATCTTAACTCTCATCTTAATACGTTTCCACCTATAAAGGTGTGTATATTTGACTCGAAAGGGGACTATATATGATTCAATTTGATTCTAGTAGTTACCCCTTGAAATATCCTCCTACCACTCCTATCACCTCCATTTCGGAACTGGTTCCCCAACTCTAGTTACAATCATTAGAAACACTCATTAGATGCCATTCGATAATCGCAAACAATCACAATTTAAGATTTAGACACTAACAATATGTTTCCTGGTATCAATTAGCTAATCCCGCGATCAGTCAGAACACAATCTTTATGGATCAACAATGAAATTAGCATGGGACTAATGTTGGGCATGTAAACGCTAGATTGAGATAGATAGATACAGATACAGATCTACCACAGAGGGAGCGGGAACCCGTTTGAAATGTGATATCGGGGGCACACCATGATTAGATTAGATCGCAGTTCTTTTGTGGCACAACATGCAGTGGCAAGTGGCAAGTGGCAGCACGAAACACACGGAGCACAACAGAAGCCGTGCACACAGAGAGGTTGAAGGGGCCCATAAATTTTGGCAACTAAATCATTCTCGATTATGCCATTAGGCGGTGGCGCGGTGGGGCGGTGGGGCTGTGGGGCAGCGGTACAGCGATCTTTTATGGCTTTGTATTATTGTTGTATTGTTGCCATAAGTTAATTGAATTGTAATTTATGCGTTCCCGGGGCTTGTATTCCAGGCATAAAATGCCATAAAATATTGCAAGAAAAATCCATAAATTTCTGAGCAACTTTTGAGCTGTCAGAGACTGGGGATGGAGGGGTCATTGCGGAGGGGCAGATACGAATCCATCTATACATATATATATGTATGGCTTGATATGAACCTGGCAGTCCATTGGCAGTTGACATGAGCGCAGTTTTGTTTTTGTGTCAAAAATCTTTCAGCCATTGGAGTAATTGATGAGAACAACCGCCAGCAGCCAGCAGACAGCAGCCAGCAGCTGAAAAGCAGCGGAAAACATTGGGAAAACAGGAATGGAATGCTTTCATGCTTTTATCAACAGTCAACACTCCACACTCGACAAACACTCCACACAGTAGTTGGCATAATTATTCGCACAATTGCATTGTAGATACATAAATTGCGGAACCCCCGATCCCGATCTCGATCTCGATGCCGATCTGCGCGCTTTCAACCCTCAACAAAAGACTCGAGCACCGCAGCAAAGACACCAAACACAAGTCATTAAAATTAACATTAACATTACTATATGTAATGCCATGCGTTTGACTATTCATTAGGGTCTGTGCCCCGCTCTGGACATGGTTCTAGCTCTCCAGACTCTTTGCCCATGCACATAAATTAGAGGCAAGGTGTAAGCAGGCTGACACGCCGAGTGAGAGCTTCAACAAATGGAGACTAGAAGACTTTTCCTTCATTGGTTTGTTAGTGGAATTAGTGGAAGACATACGACAAGACATATTTCTGTCCTTGACTACTTCTGAGCACCCCTTTCTATCAGTTTATCAATCGCTTAGCCTTGACAAACGCTATTATCCTCGTCCAACCCTTTGTTACACTTTCACTCCTAGACTCGGGCGTTTATCCTGGCCATATTCTGTTCGAGCAATTAACTGCTGGCGCCACCACTAACAGGACAACAACTGGGCTCAATGGATGGCCCAGACAGGCCGTGTGGTAGGAGAATAACCTCCCATGGAGCCTCGGAACAGAGGCTACAATGACACAACATGACATGAGAGTCTCGTCGAGTGCTGTAAATATTGCAAAAAGTGTCATAAAATCATTAGCTGGAAAAGTGTATAGACGCGTCCCTAGGGCCCGTAAAAGAAGGCCAAACGGAGAGGTCCTGGCCGTGACACAAAGGCGCTGCGTGTGACCAGTGGCACAGGTTGCAGGTTACATGATACCTATATTTCCACAACTAGTATGTGTATAGGGTATATATAGGAATACCTTCTCTGTATTACGGATTTGTGTGCGTGCCCAAGCGCCTTTTAATTTATGACACATTTTATGAGACCCGCAAAGCAATAAAACTGAAAATTGGCTTCAAACATCAGCCAGAAGGCCAGAACAAAACTAGTTAAATGGTTCTTGGCTTTTGGGCCAAGAGAGCAGGTTTTTGGGACAATTGCATCATAAATCTCAACCAAAATCGTTTAGCAGACGGCAGAGTAAAGGTCCCTCACAAGAAATTAATTTAGAGGAAGAAAGGCAAGGCTTTTCTTTTCTTTTCTAAAGTCCAGAAATAGAGCCCTTAGGATAACTTTTGTGTGGATAAACGAGTGGGAGCGTTGAGGGCTGCGGCAAGGGCCAAGGCTCTGCTTTTTTTTCGAACTACTTAAAGAAGAGTGGAGCAGAGGAGACCACTGACAACTGATTTAAGAAAGTCAGAAACAAACTTAATATACCCTTCGAGCTTGTCATATTCCCAAATGTTAAACCTTCTTTTCTCTCCCCGCCATAGCCTGGCAACTCTGCTGTGGCAACCCCCCCAGACACAGTTGACTGAAAATAGAAACAAGCTACAAAAACCCAAGCTAATTATGCAATTTTAACACTCGCTTTCGAGGCTGGCTATAACCTACACACAAAACTGCACTAGAACCCAATACGAACCCGTAGCCAAGTCAAGTCCAAGCCATATTCATTCAGGTAGTAGCTCTCTGAAAATGCAACGCACGCAAGTGGAAAGGAAAGTGTCGCCGAGGGCAGAAGCAGAACGAAGCACTAACTGAAAATGATATATGTGCATATGCACTTTAAGCAGGTCAACGGGGCCAGAAACAGAAACTGAAACATGGCCCAATAGGAAGTACCAGGACAGGGCAGGACAGGGCCCGAAGCAAAGAGCGACCCATTGACCCAAGGCTGGAAGTCCTGCCGTGCGTTGCGAGACGGGCTCTAATTGCATGTCAGAGGTCCAACAGACAGGAGGTTACAGAGGTTACAGAGGTACTGGGTCCAGTTCTCGGTAGCACAGGACATGGCGTCAGGAGTCTGAGTGGCTTGCTGCGAGGGTTATAGCTGCTTTGGGAATGAGGCAATACTCGTACTTTAGATTTCTAGATTTTGTTGCCTCAGAATTCAGGAACCAAAAAGAACAGTTCATAAGCTATCGAAGATAGTTCTTTGTTTTCCCAATAAAATATATGTATATAGCATTAACTCTCATTCCCCATTATATTTACATTCTTTGTTCCCTTGGAATACGATCTACGTCAATCTCGAACAGCAATCCCTATCCGCTATATTGTTTACCCATTGCGCTGATAAAATTCCTGCCAGCAACCGCGATTGCATATAATTGTTGCCCTGAATACAGAGAGAGGGAGAGAGAGAAAGACAGAGATATGTGTAAAGTCCGGCTCGATAAGCTTGCCTTATTCATGGCGATATCGGAATCAGAGCTCCGTGGCATGTGGAACCTTCGCGGAGGAGGCGTAATCTCTGGACTTATCGCCGGGGCTTAGAGGAAGCTGGGGTCCCGTCCACCATCCAGCATTCGCCCCCAGTGATAAATCTTCGACTATAATTTCTGTTATGATGTCTGATTCGAGACTGCTTTTGATACGTGATTCCGGGTGCAGTTACGAACTTTATCTCATTGTTTCTCAGGCTTAAAATCCCGCCGGCGGCGCCAGGGAATCGTAAAAGAAACTTTCGAAATCTCCCATATCGCCCCCGATCCCCCTGGCTCTTGGCCACACATTTTTGTGGCCATAATTAATTAATTAAAGACTAGGAAAAATTAGGCGACATCTTTTCACAGTCTTCACGAACGAATCTTGATTTTTCCACAGCAATTAATTCTGTCTCTCTCTCGCTGTCTCTCTGATCTCACAAATGTAAATGTCACTGGAAGAGTGGGGCGGCGGCGGAGGACAGAAGAGAAGAGAAGACATAAGCCGCACCGACGCCAAGACACTTAAAAGCTTTGGGGCAGGGACAGATCGGGGCAGCACATTCCCTTGCCACAGAGCCAGCCATGGAATTTGTCTGCCCGCGTGCCGAAAACTTGTCACCGTCAGAGAGAGGGAAGGAGACAGACACACCAAGAAAGAGACCCTGCCCTCTCTGTCGTATCGGCGGAGATCAAACACAGGTCTCCGTGGCTTAATTTAGACGCCATCTATGCCGCAAAGGACACACAGCCACAGCCGAATCGAGTTCGTTGCTTAAGTCTTTCGTTTGTTCACACGCCCCAATGGGCACAGAGTGCCCATGTGTCTGCCCCCAAAGCCAGCATAAAAACGGCACAGATAAACAAACCGCCTATCGGTTTAGTAATTAATTATAAACAAAAAAAAAAAACATTATCGCTATCAGCGTAGCAACAACAATGGGAGCACAACTATTGCAATAAGTCACCATTTCCGCCATCAGCAAAGTCTTTGCCCCTGCCAAAGGCAGTCTCTGATAAGCGGAGCGCCTCTATCCAAAACGATGTTTATAGACTGACACTGTTCTGTGTCCCACCGACCCGACAGTGTGTTTTCCACTCAAAAATCAGCGATTGGAACAATCATCGAAACGGGGCCTGAGGGGTAGTTCGGCTTATCTGCTGCTGTTGGCATTATTCAAATGCTGCAGAGTTCTGTTCCTCGTTCTG